GTCGAAAGAATTTTTCATAGGTGTTGTTGGTTATGTTACTGCTGTTGATTCATCAAGATGATTATTTGTATCAAAGTTTGTTTGTTTTGATTGATCATTAGACATAATTGGTGTAGTACTAACTGGTGAAGATTTGTTTGTTCTATTTGTAAACATTTTATTTCCAAATTTATCGTTACGATTATTATGTAAATCACCGAACAAAAGATTATTTGACAAAGAATCAACTGTATGTGAAACTTTTGAATGACGTTATTGACTAGGTATTATAGGTCGATGAAGAACAGGATCAATTGTTAATGAAGGATGGAATACACTACTATAAGAATTTGAAAATTTGTTATTTTTTTAGAAACATTGTTCAGTAATTAATTGATCTTCATTTAATTTTTTATCTGATGCACGTAATTTATCAGCAAGATTTAAATCAGCTTCGATAATATTTTGATCTTCTTATAAATGAAAGCAAAAGAGAAAATTTCCAATAAAAAAATAGGAAATATTAAATTATACATCATCATTATCTTGTTCATTATCTGATGTTTGTCTATCATCTTGATCACCACATTTATATAAAAGATTAAATAAAAATTCTAACTGATCTTTTGTTTCAGAATTCGTTTTTTCCACTTGAATTATTGATCGAAGACGATTGTCAAGATTCTATTAGACAAATTTTTCTTTTAATTTGATATTTACAAGAAAAAAAGAAAATTTACTATTTGCATGGCTTTATTACGTATTGATTTTAAAGTTAAAATTGAGTATAGTGAAGAATTCTCATAGGGTCGAGTCTATTTATGTAAAATAGATTATCGAGTCAAATTATAGATAGATAATATATTTCATGATTTGGATTAGTTAATAGAGCTGAAACAACGGCTATAGCTTGTTCATCTATTGCAGCATATTTTTTACGATCACTTGTACATAAACATAAATTCATCAATAAAGAGACTCCATACTCGAGAAATGCAGAAAATAAAATTTGAAATTCCAAAAAAACCAAGGGGAAATACAAATTCTCGAATAGTTTCCAATCACCGGACAACAATTAAATCTATTGAATATCTTCCCTAAGAAATTTATGACAATAAAGAAGCGACGTAAAAACAAAAGATTCTGTGAAATCATATTCATTCGTCCTAATTAGTAAAGAAAATTCTTCTAGGAGATCATTATGATGTATTTTTATTTTGTGAATCTTATTTTTGACCATTTCCAACTCTCGAAAATAGTACAATGGATTCAAGTGTAATGTTTACCACTAATACTTGAAAGTATTCTTCAGAGGTAAAAATCAGCTATTTTAGTTTTTGACTTTCCCGCACGCATTTACAGGATTCTGAAAGTCAAGACACCTGTTTTTGTACCGACCCTTTACGTATTTCTCTCATAAGAAAAAAACCAAAGTGAGATTTTGAGAAAAGTTTACCATTAGCTTTGAGATACTGTCCTGGATATCTTTACAGTTAAATCGAATCAAGTTTGGTGAGGATCGTCAAATGTATCAGAATGAAGCTTTATAAAAAATCTAGGTTTCCCAGAAAAAATTCACTTCCAATATATTGTCTCTCAAACACGTATCTTCTTATTTTTAGTGCTCTATTCAAGGTCCCGGGGAAAACCGACACCGAGATAAATATAAGAGTATGACATCTAGTCTTTCATCAACGACATGATTCTTTTATTTCGCATGTCGTTTTTGCCAAAGGACAGGGGCGCATAAGACCGCGATTTGGCCCATTGGACTTTTCACACTATATCCAGCACAATCATATATAGGATGAAAGAACTTTAACTAGCGAGTACTTTTATACCAGATTTCAGATACGTTTCAAATACATTTGAGGGCTTCCTACCTTAAGATTTTGACTGGTCTTATCAGCATATTTGATTAATCATTTTGCTAAAAATCCGTATAAGCCAGCTTCTATTATAGTTTACCGGATAGCTCTTTTCACGGGCTACAAAACCCTATAGTTTTTAAAATTATTATACGTGGGCCAATAAAAAAGTCCAAGATCACAAAGTAAAAATTACGTCCATTTTACATATAGTATAGCATGTCTGATTTACCATTCCTTCAAAAACGTTTTTTAAGTCACCTCCTGTTATAACTAGTCAGATGACCTTTTCCGTCAGCTACGAAATCCTAGTATTTGTAGAATCAGAAAAATGAAAACACTATAATCAAATAGGTACATATTGTTTTTGTAAATGTGTAAGAAGAGTGACACTATTTCCTGTTCTTGCTAGGTCTTTCAATAGTCAGATGCGACAGAAATTGTTATACGAGATTCCATATTATCAGTGACATCTAGATCATTTTAACTATGTTAGATAATTGTATGAAGACGATTGACTCCATCGCTGTAGTGGTCATGAGGTTTATTTAGACTTTACTTATTTCGGTTAAAAAAGTCATACGATTTTCCTGAAGACATTCGTTTTAATATTGCAACATTCATACACTATTCATTGGAATTTGTTAAGCAAGAGCTCATGAATCATATTTACATCTAATATCAATCTATTATTGATACTCTCTGAATGAATTTAATACTATGCTTGGTGATCATGCATACAGAGAAAAAACAGGATGCGGGAAAAAATAGTGTAGATGTAGTCTGTCGAATACAAATTGAGAAATCTTGGTTATTATTTTTCTTCTCTATCATCAAAGAAGCTTGTTAGTGCAGCCCCTTTGGGGCTGAAATGTGGAACTCACATATACTCTCTACTCCCATTAAACTCATATAAAATACGTAAAGTGAGAAACCTCGGATAGATTATAGCTGTTTTGCACGATAATTGATGTGCAGAGTAATGATCTATCTATTTTCTGCATTTCTAACAGATTTTTTAAAATATTACTACGGCGCCTTATTTTTATTTCATTGTTGCTATTGGCTCATTATTTTTCTTTTTTTTAAGTCGTTTTTCTTAATTTAACATTCTCATTATTATAATCATTGAATTAATTGATAATATAAGTCTGTTTTATGTATTCATGATATCTACAGACCATCTTACATACTATCATATATATTAATCAACTCACAGATAATGATGTTCATTGTTTTTCACAATTATAACTTCATCGATTTTACAAAAATAACTTTAGAAAATATAACACCTTTTATTCTCGGTTGCTAAGGTCTGTAATGGGGGCTGTCTGTAATGGGGTGGGGGAAGCCCTAAAAACTCGAACTTAGAATTTACACTCACTATTTTCTTCGAAAATATATGTGAGTTTCACAAAATGAATACGTAAAGGACCGATGAGAATCGTAGTGAAGGAAAGAGAAAAAGAAACCGATGGAGCTGCATACCTGCAGGAACGAATATTATACGTGAAAGTGAGAACAACGTACGATTAAGAGGAATACTAAACACATAATGTGATTGCTATTTTAACGGAGTTAGTTATAAGGATGTTTGGCTGTTATATTGAAAAAGACAGCCACATATCTACAACAGTGTTACATTGTTTGATCATAAGTATTCTATGATGCCTCGTGAGGCAACAGTTCAATGGTGAATGCACGAAAACCGGATTCGTGTTGGTGATCGTAGGCATTCAGTCGTCACGTCACTTCTCTTGCGGGTGTATGTGGCGATGAGGACTAAAAAACATGTGAAAATGGGAGATTATCTTTGAAAAAGCTTGTCATTATAAGTACGATTGGTGGCGTCGTTTATTGGGCGGTGATTTCGACCAGTTAGATTCGTCATTAGAAAACGATTCTAAGAGTCAAGATGAAGAATCAACAGTAGAAGTTTTTCTTCATTCTATACAGATCTTCTGTTGTTTTGAAGTCGATGGAGATAGATCTTTGTTGCTGCTGCGGCTCCAGTTATAACCGAACATGAGAACAAATCGGATGAAGAGGGTGATAAAAGTAAAACTGGCTCGGCGAAGTTATCTATTTGGCGCACCTCAAAAGCTCATAGATAGTTTGCGTTGTTACTGTTGAAGTTACATGTTAAATTATATTTTTAGCTCTTGTTTTGTTCGTACGACAACTGATTCGAAGTCTATGAAAGTGCTGTCTTACGAGCAACGCACCATGGTTTTCCTCAAGCGAGGTATTTTTGTTTCAGAAAACAGTCGTTACTATTCTGATCACCTTCACTGAAGAGAATAGCATACAAATTCTGAAACGGATTCAACCATCTCAAGTTGATCAATTAATCCTCAATGATGCTGATGTGAAAAAAAGCTGTTTGAAGATTGTCAGTCGGCTGTGAATCATGTCAGCTCATTCGATTTTGATGATCCAGCAAGTCTTGATGATCAGGATTACAAAACCATGATTGACCTTAGTTGCGGTATTGCAGTTGATATTGTCTTCATCCGCTATCTTAGACAATTTTGTATATACCAGATAATTTCAATGATTTGCTCGATCAATTGATTACAATACGTGAGACTAGTTTTCGTTCTGTTCGAGTGGCACTTGTTGCATTTCTTGCAAAATTACGTCTCGGACTTAGCAGTACCATTCTCGGCTGTCTATTCCAGCTTAAATGCAATATGACTTTTTCTCGCATTTGACATCGAATACGAACGGCACTGATCAAAAATTTTTGTACCGAAATATCTCGAGTTTCAGCATATGGATTGAAGCAGAGTTCTCGCTCATCATCAATTAGTGATTGCAACTGAGTTGCTAACAGAAGGTCCCAATGAAGTTGTTCTCATCGCTAATGGAACCTATATTTATTGCCAAAAGTCGTCTAACAACGGAATTTCAAAGGCGTACGTACAGTAGTCATAGACATCGACACCTTGTTAAACCGATGATCATCACGACAAGTGTGAATATAGTGAGAAATTCAAAATTGTAAATGAAGATAGATTGAACAAAGAGATAATGTCGTTGGGTTACTTTTTAAAAAATCGGTTTTTTACTGAGCCTTTTTTTTTACGTTCAATAGCAACTGCGAAATCTTACATGGTTTTTCCCACGGACGCACGACAGAAACAAAACCAATTCCAATTCTATGGAATGCAAAAACGTTCGATACCATAATCACGAAATCATTCGAGTTCGGAATGACTCACTCAGGATTTAATACAAAACTTGTAACATTCCTCACTGAACCCTGAATGATTTCATTCTTATGACGTTGAACATTTTTGTGTTCCA